TGATTCACAGTGGCACCATATACAGAAAAAGAACGATGCTGCTGGTGTATGCAGATGATATTGACTTCATCGGGCTGATACCCAGGACATCAGCACAGCATTTTCCAGTTTGGAAAAAGAAGCGTAAGCGGTGAACTTGGACAAGACAAAACATAAAAAAAGTCTGTGCGTTTTAATTTTTCCGCTATCTATTTGAAATGTTTTAATAACCCATGAATGCTTCCTTCCACGTGTCTGCTCAACCTGCTGCTACTTTTGCGTATGTATTTTTTTTACATCATTTAACATCACAATTTCCGACTTGCCACTTTGTTAGTCCACAAAAATGTTGCCAGCATTTATTGCTGTTATCTCACTTTTCGCCCATTGTTCAGCTGTACTTTGTTGCAGCAATTGTTGCACGTTACTACAGTTTTCGATGGCAGCAATGTTGTTAGATTTTTGGCATTCATTTCACTCACTCTCGCCTCGTTGCTACCATGAATGAGCGAATGTCTGAATGAATGAAACAGTGAAGGAAAGATTTTTTATTACACGGCATAGATGGTGGCAGTGATTGTTGTTGCGACAATTTTTATTGTTCACTTGACAAATACGATTGTTATTGTTCATTTGTTGGGCGCTGGTCACTTGGCGCCGGGCCACTCTCGCGGCGTCAAGATAATTTGTCAACGACTCTCTGTGTGCGGTAGGCAGCCGTGATGAAGTCACTATTGTTAGGAAATGTTATATGTACATACTTCTGTATTTGAAAAACTAAAAGTGATAGAAAGCTGCTTATTTTACTGGTTGCGTCGGCTGTGTACTTATTATTCAAAATGATTTTAGCTGTTTACGGACACCGTGATTGCAAGAAACAAAAACATTGACAAGGTACTTAGTCAATGGAAAAATACTCTGCGTCATTCATTAGAGCCTACTAAGTGCGAGTCTGACTTTCTCATTAAAAACAATCGAAATATGAATAGCGGCCCATCACGTACATGAGGTTCGGAAGTACTCCCAGTAGGACCTCTTTTTGGAATCTCTACCCCGTATAGTATATTTTTAAAAAGCAGGACTATGGAACTACTTATAGCTCTTTAAAAGTAGTAGTTTTCCAAATACAAGCGATCATGGTGAGTAACAATCAAATTTTTTTCTTTGACTGGGTTGACACATTAGAGCCGAACCTAGATTAAGGTACCATTATAGAGTTCAGATGGATTAAGTTACATACCCTTAAACATCTACTTTAAATTGTGGAATCATTTTAATCGGTGACCCAGCGAACATCCCTCAGAACACACCAAGTTCGAGGTAACAGCGATCGTCGTCAAGACTACCGGACTAGGGAATCGATCATTTTGGTTGTGGTAGCAAAAGATCACACGATTGTAGGCACATCAAAACAAAATTAGGAAATTAGGCACCAATGAAAGTAAATCCAGCCGCCATTGAAAATACTTGTACAACAAGGTAAGCAGGGGAACCAAAATCCATGGAAACCGCTCTTGCTTCACTAGTTATTTGAACCAAAAAATGCGGTCTTTAGGTGCAGTCGGCTAAAACTGTGCTTTAAAAATGTATACTGGTGGCTTCAAGCTCGATAGAGAGGTTGTGGGAGGAGTCTTCTCTCCAGAGCTGGAGATAGAAACATCTTTTCGGCTTCCTGGTCACTGCAGTGTATACCAAGCAGAAGTGCTAGCCATGCAGGAGGGTCCTTGGTCCCTAACGAGAAACCCCAAGGAGAAAAGACAGGACAACTATTGTGGAAAGGCAACATTTCGGAAATCGCCACATTCACCTTCTTTCAGTGGGATTCGATTCAACGACCCCAGTGATAGGACTCATACTGTAGAAACCACTACGCATGCGCTGCAAAGTAGGAAGTAACTAGCAGAAAGCCGCATGAAAAAAAGAACAACTCACAGCTAAACGCATTATAATTGATCAATTTACCAGTTTGCAATGTCAACTGGTGCTAACAGCGAAAAAAGCACTTAAGTAAAAAAAAAAACAACAAAAATAAATACGACACCAACTAGCCAGCGGACGGAGTGCAGCATAAATAGCTTCATCAGCATTAAGAGACGCAGCAGCCTAATGACATTGAGCTACTGCGACAAAAATAACAACAACCAAAAATAAATAAATAAAAATATTGCAAGTTACAAAAGATTGCAACGCAAGCGACAGACAATCTTTTGCTCGCCGCTTAATTTAATTGGCGGAATTCGCAATTGACAAGCGACGTTCGCTTGATTTATGCACTCGTGCAGGCGCATAACTGTTTAGCAAAAGTGCAATTGAATATTGCTGCCTGATACATAGATACACGACATTTTGTTGACCTTGTCAACATGTTGCCGCAACATGTCAAACATTTCTCGCTCCACTTGGCATGCAGCAACACACTCGCTGCAATAATTGCGTTTGCGTCTGTCGCTTCGGGCTAGAGCGTGTGCAATTTAATGCCGCTAGTAGTTAACTGCTGTTGTTGTAGTTGTTGCTGCTGCTGCTAGTGCGTACACGTTAAGTTGACAATTGACTGACAAATATGAAAATTACCGCGCTCAAAATAGCTAACTGAATAGCCGGTTGACGTGTCAATAAATGCGCGCGACATGCGGCACTGCGGTGCGGCGCTGCAATGCGTCGCAAAATTGAAAAGAACCGACGCGTGCAAGATTGTTGTTGCTGCAATTGTTGTTATTTTGTGGGAAATAAATATATGTACATATATGTATGTACATGCAATTATATGCACGTACATAAGTATTAATGCACACATGTATCTACTTATGTGCATTAAGTGCTTGAGAATTGCTAGTTAATTGAAATCAGTGAATGATAAGTGAAATTGATATGAAAATTTCTGTAATCGACATGAATTATTGAGCAAATTGGAAGAGACATGGAACGAGATGGAAATTACAAATGCGACGATATATACAGACATATTAAGATGTACTTACGTATGTACATATACATATGTATTTCCCGCCAGCTAGAACCGATAAAGTCCATTTAAGGTATAACGACCCAATGTAGATTACATAATTACTTTATTCGTAACCAGTGATAGGTACTATCACAAATAAGTGTGTAAATGAGACTAATTGCTTTCAGATTAGCGATGTGCATCGCCCATCCAGCAGTACTGGAAAGTAAGAGCTTTTAACCACATCGCCCTGAAACCTTGTTGACACAGCACTGCACGCGAGCAAAACGCTGCTCATCACTGCCTTACAGTCGGCTGGAACTTTTAGGGCCTCTCTTTTTAATTTCATATAATTTTTAGATATTTTTTTTTGCAATTTAAAGTAATTTCCTAATTCTCTATATTAGAAGAAACAAGATAGGAAGATATAATTAGGAAAACTTTTTTGTTTACTTTTTTATTTTTTTTAGATTTTATTGTTCAAATAGAATACTGTATATATTTTTTTAAATTCATAAAATTTTTGGGTACATCTTTTATTTTACTTTTATTTTTTTAATAAATATCATTAATTTTTCAACTTCATTTTTTCTTTGGTTTTAAATTTTATGGTTTAAAAAAGAAAAATATATTTTTTAATTGAATTTAATTTTTACAAAGCTCTTTTATTAAATTTTTCCATTTGTTTTAAGATTTTATTGTTCAGATAGAATAATATATATAATTTTTTAATTTCATTAAATTTTTGGGAATATATTTTAGTTTTTTTATATTTTTTAATTAAATATGTATGTTTTAGTTTAAATTTATTTTTCTTTTTGATTTTAGATTTTATTGTTTTAAAAAGAAAAATATATTTTTTTATTTTAATATTTAGAAACCCTTTTTTATTTCATTTTCTATTTGGTTAAGAGTTTATTGTTCAAATAAAATAATATAAATATTTATTTTTAATTTCATAGTATTTTTAGCAACGTATCTTTTTCTTAAATTTAGATGAGAAAGCCCTTTTTTATTTATATATTTATTCAAAAAGAATAATAATTTTTTTTAGTTTCATTAAATTTTTAGGAACGTACTTTATTTTTTTATATTTTTCAATTAAATATCTTTTATTTTGCAATTTAAATTTCTTTTTGGCTATAGTTTTTATTGTTTTAAAAATAAATTTATATGTTTTTATCTGATTAGATTTTTAGAAGCCTTTTTAGTTAATTTTAATTTCCTATTTTTTTAAGATTTTATTGTTCACAAAGAAGATATTTTTTACTCTTCTATTTTTTTTTAATATTTTAATAAAATGTGTTTTATTTTTCAATTCAATTTTCTTTATGGTTTTAGATTTTATTGTTTTATAATAAAAATATTTTTTTTTTAATTAATTGAATTTTTAGACACTTTCTAATTTAGTGGTGTTTATTATTTTTAGGATTTTATTATTCAATTAGAATAACATATTTTTTAATTTCATTAAATTTTTAGGAACGTGTTTTACTTTTTTATATTGTTAAATAAATTTATTTTATTTTTCAATTTACTTTTCTTTTTGGTTTTAGATTTTATTTTTTTTTTAAGTGAAAAGTGAACTTTTTGTTTGCTTTGTGTGACAACATCAAGGCGTACGCCACAAGTCGGAGGAGAAGCTCGGCCAAACACTAACATATATGTAAGCGCCAATCTATTATTATTATTAGTACAATTTTTAATTTAAATTTAAAATATTGGATCTAATTTTTTTGCAATGTTATTTTTCGACTTGTTTCAATTAAAGATAAAAAAAACACTCAAACAAGGTAAGAAGAAAGTATCAACTTCTAGCAGAGAGTAAAAAGCTTCCGCCCCATCCTCGATCATTATGGACATATTTGGTGTGTACCTATGTGGCACCTTCACATGCTCATATCGAATTTCCCATTAAGATTTCAGCGAACGAAGTAATACTTCGGTTTTGTATTTAACCGCCGGATATCAAATTACAATTATAATATATTTCGATCCATTTACTTTAATTAAAGTTAGTGTACATGCATAGATAATCTATAAAAGTAAACATAATTAATCAACTGTAGTTACTCACCTTGTGGGCTTTGATGAGGGCGCCCTCTGAACAAGCTAATGTGACGTCCACCAGACTCTCGTCCTGTAGTAATTGACTAAACACCCCTAACAGGTTGGATTGATGATTGTTCCACCTCAAGCAGTAGTGCTCACTGCCCATGTCGGTGACAGCTTACGCTGCTGCAATTGAAAAGAGCGAACAAAATGTAAAAAAAACATCAATGTGGAAAAGTTTAAAAACGAAAACTAAAATTGGCTTATATAAAGATAATTACATGAATGAAGACAAAGGAATTTATTTATGCAAATTAAAATAATAAATATTTTTGTTGAAACACCACTAAAAACACAGCTACAAACATAATCGCCCTGCTCTCTAGGAAATTTAGTAATTTACGCGCTTTGCGAAAGTTCTCCTCAGGCCGCCGCACTTTTTCACGTTTTCCACCATCAAATAATACTACTTGCACTAGTAAATTATATTTGGGTTGTAGTTTCTTGTTTGTTTGTTTGTTTCGTTGTTTTTTTCTTTTTAATTTTATTGAATGCACCGCTTGCGCTGGCGAAATGTGAATGTGCAGCGTTCAATGCATAAGCACCTGGGATGCGAATGTTGAAAGAATGAATGAGACTGACTGAATGAATGCTTGGCTGCGTGGCTGTATGGGGATCGACGCGTTTAAATTATTGCGCGCATGCGTGTTTACATACGAGTGAATATTGCAATGTAATACTTATTGCATATGTCGTGTACATACATACATGCATACATGCATTCATACATTCAAACATAGCTACTAAATATGTGCATGCGCGCGAATATGTAATCACACTTGTTTGCAGTTGCGCTTTCGTGTTGCTGTTAAATTGTGATTGCGCGTGAGCGGTGGTGGCCAAGGCTGGCTGCTGGCGGCTGCGTGTGCGTATGCGTGTAATTGGCAGGCGGTCTACGCTGGCCAGGCAGGCTGGTGGATCGCATAGATACAAGTTAAGCGGCGAATGCATTGGCACAAAACACGTGATTAATCATACTTATGGAGATGCGGATATGCTGGGGAGGTATGGGATTACATGCAATACTTATGTACACACAGAGGTCAATACATCTGTGCATACTTATGTACATACTCGTACAATCTAAGTATGCAATACTCAGCGTGCGGTGCGTGCTAAATATACAATATATGTAGAGGGCAAAGTAATGCAAACAAAATTTTGCAACTGTGGTGTTGACTTAATGGTCTGTGCAAGGGTAATGCAATTGTGTTTATAATAATTTTAATTTCCTTAATGTTTTTATATAGCGTTTTCTAAATGATTCCATGTTCAATTCAACATTTAAATAATTCAGACATTAAGACAGATATGTTGGAGATAAAAACCCATATGTAATTGCATCACTGCCTTCCTAAATAGCTTTATAATTGTGTAAATTCTTGGAAGAATTACCATTTCAATTATATCATGTTTTCTTCTATTCTTATTAAATTTAAAAATGCATATATAGACACTCATCGTGAAGCCTTGGTACGGTAATTTTTAGCCACTTGAGACTTGCACATTATCAGACTAAAATTGAATGGGCTATAAAACTGTATACCCAAAAAAACTCTAACACTTCTAAGAAAAAAGTTTGAAATTTGAGTGAAAATTTGTTTGTATTTTTTGTGTTTTTTTTACAAAATTTTAAACTTGGTTTTATATGGGTATTTTAATTAATTAAGTTTCAGCACACTCAAGGACACGCTTTATATCCGTGGTCAGCGCATACAGAGCAGTATCCGTGGATCTACCCACCCTCTACGCATGCTGAATTGGATGCAGAGGTACCCCTGCAGCCAGCGCTAGACAATCCCTGATTATGTCGACAAGGTGAGGAAGTAGGAGCTGGCCACCCTGATTCAGTAGCACTGGACTGATGCCATCCACCCCGGGGGGATTTGTACCGTTCAAACGAATGGCATCAGGGAAGTGCCATTCCAAGAAGAACCATCGGGTGGCCTAACGGCTAGTCTAATTCTGGTGTTGTTCTTCCCCAATGCCTTGTGCTAGCCGCAGGGGTAGATGAGATGCCCCCACAGAAGGTACTGAATGAAGCTGCTACGCTTGGCTTGCGCGAATAAACATCGCCCTTACCGAAACTGGGGCCTTAGGATAGAATAAAAGTATGACACATGAAAAATATTAAAAAACAAAAAATAGTTCAAATAAGAAACACCCAAAATGTACATACATACATACTTGAAGTGGTGGAAAATATTATAGCTATTTAATTTAATAAATAAATATATAGTTCATTCTTAAACAAAACCCGTATAAATACAAGTTTTAATTAGATTTATTAAGGCCGTTTTCTACAGTAAGTTTTAAAATTTAACTGCCCTTCAAAAACACAAATTTTATTCTGAAAATTTTTTTTTTTAGGATATACACTGGCGGCAGATATAATAGACTCGTCGTACTCGTCAACAAAAAAAAAAGTTAAAAAAATCAACGGTATTTTCTAGCCACTTGAAACTTGCACTTTATTGTACTACAATTGAATGGGCTACAAACTGCATACCAAAAATTCTGAATAAAGTTTGAAAATTTGGTGAAAATTTGTCGAATTTTTATAATTTTTGTTCAAAGTTTTAAAAGCGGATTTATATGATGTTTGTTGTTTTTATAATTTTTTTTCAAAGTTTTAAAAGCGGATTTATATGATGTTTGTTGCATAACTACCTAGGCTTTTATAAAAAGGTATTAAACATTTAAACAAAAATTTTTCTAAAAATTCTGAATAAAAAGCTTAAAAATTTTGTGAAAATTTGTCGAATTTTTATAATTTTTGTATAAGGGATTATGGTATTTGTTGTATAGCTAGCTTTATAAAAAAATATTAAACAGAAAACAAACCATGGAATAATAGCCAAAACTCTTCAAAGTAAAGCGAGCCTATTATTTCTGCCGCCACTGTACATATGTATACATTTTAAAACCTACTTGGGAAAACGCCCTTAAAAAGATTTTGAGCAAAAGTTAGCGTTGATATTTTTGATTTTTTTTGTCGAAGATTTTACGGCGTATATGGTACTTTTTAGCCATTTGAAACTTATATTTTTTAGCTGCAAAACTACATACTCAAAATCCTTCTAAACAATCTAATTAAAAAGCTCGAAAGTTTTTATATTTTTTTTTTTAGTTTGCAAAAAGTTTGAAACTTCGAGTTATAAGGTTTTTGTTAAAGTATGAAATATTTTTTTATAAAAAATAAACAACTAAAACAAATAGGAACAGAAAATAAAAATACTTGCCAATATATGTTACGGCAATAATTTTTTCGACCACTGTATGTAATATAATAAAATTTTTATCTAAACATTCCTAATCACATAACACCCGCAACTAGTTGTTTAGCGTTAGCAAGCGTGAAATTGGTGTATATTTGTAAAACAACTGCTACGGTAAAATATGTTCCCCCGAGGGAATATACGCACACAATGCCGACCTTTAATTACATCGCCCACGAATTAAATAACAATTCATCATTTACGTATGCAATGCACGCGCAAATGTACACGCATAACAACAACAACGCACACACAATATTGCATAATACGAATATGCACTGCAATTGATTGCACTCATACGAAGTGTACAAGTGCGCACGCATGCGCAGTGACCAACCGACCGGTAGAACGAACGTCATCGTGTGGTTGTCGATTAGACTGCCGGCTTGGTAATTAAACATGTTCGTTGCATGTGGTAACAAATGTTACAACAATTACAATGTACATACATACATACATTAATAGTGAGTGCAATCGCAATGAAAGTACTTTTGCGGCAACAAAAAAAGCTTAACTGGTTTATTTCTTATTGTTCATATGTAGTTGGGTTTCGTTGGCTACTTTTTTTTCAAGTAAGAAACAACACTGCTTGAGTCATTTCAATTATCCGTGTATATACACCGTTAAGTTTTACTCGTACAGATTCGCGTCTTAGAAGTGAAACATGAAGTAAAATTATATTCTAAGTTTCTCAAGCCCAAGTCGTGGTTATAAAGCACAAAAGAAAAAAATACAAATAACAAAACAAAATGGTTAAATACATCATAGTTATCAGACCGATTGTAACCCATTGGGTTCTGGTCTCCCTCTATACAAAGGGAACAACAAGGCAATAATCGGAAAAGCGCAAAGGCTGGACGCACTGGGAGCGAAGAATAGCGTAGCTCATGATGGGCTTGACATACATTTTTACCAACAATCGCTCAAAACTTTTCTTCAAGGTGTGGCTGAAAAGGGTGCCATAAGATTTAGTGAGGCCAACGTGTGAAAACCAATTATCTATGGACCGCGGCGAGCAATATTGGTTTAAACTAAAAGCGGTCGACTTAATGGATTATAAGCCAGTAAAAACTGCATTGGTATAAGGTATCCAAACAAAAGAGGAATAAAACGAAGGCTTACCAGTGGCATATGATGGCCTATCATCTGCACTCAAGGTTCAAATGTTGATGATTGTGCGGTATAGGCGGAACAGGAAAGATCTTCCGAAACTCAATAAATTTGAATAGTCTCTACCGGGCACTGTACATTTGCCCCGATACCCTAACGATGGTAAATATAAATAAGTCCTCTCTACAGAAGCTGCCGCAATGAGAGTGAGGAGAAATTATTTTAACTTTGTTTTTAAGCGGCGGCCGCTGTAGTGTACTGGTAATCAGTGCGCGCTTCCACTCCGCAGGGCCTGGGTTCAAGCCCTGGTCAAAACAACATCGCATTGGGGTTCTTTTTAAAAAGGAGGACAAATCAGGGACCGCGTTAGTTACGACTTTTATTAAAAAAACGCCCTTTAACAATTATTTTTTGACTATTATTTAATTACCCCTTAAATAACCGTTATTTTAGACTTTTATTTTATAAATCCAAAATAACAATTATTTTTGATTATTATATTATCTATATATAATACGCGAAGTCATTTTTTGTGCCATTCGCTCGATTTTCAAAAATGGGGTGTCAAATTAAAACGCTTGGCCGGTAGATGTGCAAACTGGTTATATTTTTGTAAAAGAGTTGCCACCTGTTGAGCAATTAAATTCAAATTATTTAATAATCAGTGCCCTCATATCCGCACCGTTCGTTCGATTTTCCGAAATGAGGTGTTATATTAAAAGGCTTGGACTGTATGTG